CAGATTCAGCCTGTTGAAACTGATCAGAGGCTGATTCCAGGAAGCCTGGGGCAGAGCAACTCTGCCTTGGGCTTCCTGTAGTCAGCCGCTAGTCAGTTTCAGCAGCGGCTGAATCTGGACGCCAGTTCCGACTTACATACAGATTCAACTTAAGAACAAACCTACAGTCCCTATCTTGTACGTAACCCGGGGACTGCCTGTATAGAGAAAGGAAGCCCAAAAAGAGGCTATGTCTAAGGGACATATGGTGACACTACTTTCAGAAGCACTCAGGTACTGGGGCTCACCTACAGGTTACCTAGAAAACAAAGTAAGGGGTGTCAAAGCCCTGAGGTGGTATCGGCTAATATTCAGTGGAACACAAGCAACTCATCATCTCCCTGGAGGCAGAAGGGTAACAAGGTGACTAATTTCTGGGCACCACAAGAAACAGAGATAACCCATAATTCTTGATATGGGGTGGTCATGTGTCCCTCTCCTTTAAATTCTGGGCTCCCCCTAAGTTGCCTCTGGTCTCTTTCTTACTAACTTTGCACACTTTCTCCAAGACAGCACCATCCACACCCACTCCCCTCACAGCTCCTTCCCCTCTTACAACTTCCATTGCCTCACTGCTGCAAGCTGGAGAGGGCTCTGTACACCTACTGCTGGGCAGGTAACTATTTGCAGATAAGGAAGGGATGGTACTCAGACGTCTTCCTTGTGCACCCTCTGGCGAAGCTGTGATGCCAGCCCCATGTGTCTTCCCTCTTCTGGGCACCTCTAAGTGGAGTTCAGTGCGAGTGGGAGGAGTCAGGTGCCATGCCTTTCCCAGACATGTTCCTCTGAGATGTGCTCAACCCCACCCCCAACTTCACAGAAATCTACATACAAGAGTCCCAGCCTGCCACTTACATTTTTAATGGCTAAAAAGAAGCCTCTAACAGAAATTGTCTCAATGTTTAATATATTCATTCCGTTTAGATATTTCTTTTGTTGTAGATCTCTTGCAAATCTGTCTTCAGAAACGTACACCTTGCATTAAACTGTGTTAAATGTTTAATTCAGAAACACTTAACAATTCTGCTTTTTTGTGTTTGCAGGTTCAATTAAGTTTTCACAGATGGATAAGAAAATTAAACACACTTCTCTTCTACAAGAAAGCCTGTGTATGTGATGTTAAGAAATAGGAATATGATTGTATATTGACAGGACTCGACATTTAGGGCAATCTACTCACCCATGGCGAGTAGATTTTAGCCCGATGCGGCTGCGCAGTGCAGTCAGCGCATGCGCAGCACGCCGAACTGCGTGGCTGGCGAGCAGGGCTCGCCGCTGCTTGGTGAACCCTGTATATTGAAATAGTAATATGACTTGAAATTAGTTAACTTTTTTCTTTTTAAATATTAACTGCAATCAGAGGTTATGACTCCAAAAGAAAAATAAACTGGCATTAGAATTCAAGACATTTCTCTGACTAATTTTCACTAATTCGTGTGCAAATTTTTCATTTTAAACAGTGTTCATCAGATATTTTTCAATAACATTTCAGTTCCAAATTTAAAGAATAGTTAAATGAATCAGAATTTTCAAATGCTCACTTTATCCAAGCAGTTGTTAGCTACAGGATGCGTATTAATAAATGAAAGACAAAAATAAGAACAAGCAAGCTAACTTACAATGCTATCCTCAGGGTCTTCTAGACCATCAGGTCGACTAAGGTTGCGAGCAGGCTGACTGCAGACTACGTTGTCTTCCAGTTCCCAAGAGGAAGTCCTTACAGGTAACCTTTGGATCTCCTCAGGATAAAAAGCACCATCTGCTCCATCTGAAATAAAAATGAGAAGAACAGGCCTCTTGTTTATTGTATTAAATTGCTGTTCAATAGTGTTAGAACCCTTTTTTGTCAACTCAAAATAATTAAATCAAGACACCAAAATATTTTCAGTTTAGATTACATAAAATTAAAAGTTCTCAACCAAAACCCAAAATCTGGTAAACAGAATCCACAGCTACAAATAACTTTGGTGTGAGTGCACCATCGTTCCTCTGCCCTCTTGAAAGTTCTCCTTTTAGTGACTAGCATCAATGGATTTACTAATGAATCCAATCATTTCCAACCAACATATTATATGCCAAGATATCATCAAGTCCTGTCCTGTCTCTACATAAATAAAGTGGTACTTCTATTTTTAAATTGTGAGACAAAAGAAAGCTGAAGAAAATAAAACTATACAAACCTCTTGTTTCCTGGGTTGCATAAGGGTTTCCATATTTCAGTACTGGTAATCTACTTGGCACTGCAGGAACCAGTCCACTATTCTCTGAGTATGGATTGAGAAAATGTAAATCACGTGGAGAAATCTGCCCCTTAGTTATCTTTGTGGCTTGATTTTCAGGATTCATTCCATGTTCCTAATTAACAAAAAGTTTAAAAATATAATTAATATATGGAGTCAAATCAAATGTTTTAAATTCAAAGGAAATACTTAAATAATTCATTAAAAAAACAAATAGTTATCTGCCTAGTCTTAGACATACTTATCATGATTTTACTGAGCTGACATTTTAAAGTAACTTCAAGTTTTAACAAAAGACAGGACTATGCAGCACTTTAAAGACTAACAAGATGGTTTATTAGGCGATGAGCTTTTGTGGGCCAGGCCCACTTCCTTAGATCAATATGTGGAAGAAAATTGGCACGACCATATATACCAAAGTGATACTATCAAAAAAAGTGAACACAATAAAAAAGAAGCTGTCTTAACTTTCTCGGTCCTACAATTTGTAGGCTGTTTGTTTATAAGCCACAAGGAGCAATCAAAAGAAGTTCAAACGGCAGTGTCTACTTTCTAAAAGCCTGAGCCATTTTCTGAAAGTGGAAATGTCCCATATGCTTATAGGTTTTATTTCTCTGCAATATGGAAACATTTTTGCTAAAAACATGATGGTATTTAATACTTTAATTCCAGCATCACCTAAGATTAAAATAGAACATACATCAAAGTGCTTGTAAAAGGTGCTATAAAATAGTCTTAGCCATAAGCTGAACTGCTAGGGTACAGACTGATTTTTAAAAAAAATCAAAGGCTATATAAGTATGTAAATAAAACAGAAACTAAGTAATTTTATAGGTTTGAAGGGACTACAAATGAACATTTTAGCATGCCATGTTTAGTGACATTTATAAACAAACACTGATAATGGAGTATAAATTGAAAAGCTGTTTACTGTACTATGCTTAACCTTTTAAATCATGGTTCCAGCCTAGCACAGCACTTTGATTCTTCCTTGGAATTGTTCTAGCAAATTTATAGATATTTACATTACAAGCTTTTATAAGCTTCATACAATATTTTTACAGTTGTACACGCCTCATGTGTGTTGTTTATAAAGATTCCCTCCAGCTAAAAATGATCCCCTCCAGATAAATAGTTGTATCAAAATCCAAAACTTTACTTAGCTTTTCTATGGATTAAAGAAATATGGTACAGACGAATTTAAAAAAAGAAAACCATCAATTTATTTGGCTATTCCTTTGTATGAAAAACAGTATCAACCACCTTTTTGGTTTGCTTTTGAGAAAAATATAAGTTAAATATTCTCATTTTTTACCTTGTTTGATCTATACCGAAATTACCTGAAGTTACTGTTAATGAAATACAACAGCTATGCTGAGTGCCTCATGAACATTCTCTCTTCCATCTTGGTTCATTCATATAACATGGTATGAATGTACCTATATATTTTTAATAAAGATTACTCTCCCTTCTAGCAATGCCTTGCAAAATTATTATATTATGCTTAGGACACTGTAATGGGTAGTAGAATAAGAACACCTAATAATAATAACCATGCAAAACACTGAAAATACTTTTAGTATTAGAACATCATCTAATATTTTAGCATGGATATCTTTAGTTTTAATGATACAGGTACTGAGTTTGATTAGAAAGTCAGCTGTGGAAAGTGGCAGTTCATTTTCAAACACTTATTTAAAAATCTGGAATGGCATTAGAAAGTATATAAATGTCCTTTTACATAAACTACAACTCTGAAGAGATTATAATCAAGGTCACACGGTAGCATCTGACAATCTGTTCTCTTGCTGGCTGCTTGTGGGAATAAGCAACATTGGTAGTGAATGTTTGTGTCTAGTTACAACAGAAACAATTCCTATGGAACAACAGTGGAAGTAACTTTATCCAGTCATATCTGAATATGCATGATTATTCTGAGATGGCAGATTTAAACTGACAATTACCCCAATTTCTAAACAAAAACAAAAATCAGTTAAAAACGTATGGATGACAGTTAATGCTAACCAAAACAGCCTTACAAATTTCACTACATTAAATGCAGCCTATGATTAAATATTCTGGAAGTCTATTATTGAACAATAAACACGTTTCTAAACATAATATTTCCAAATATCAAGTTAGAAGTTTTGATGTTTCACTATGTGTCTGTTTTGAGGTTCTCTTTTCTCATTTTTTTTTTTTAATAGAAAACAAATAATTTTTTTTATTTGCAAATCAGTTAATTTTTTTAATGCATTTTAAAATTTACCTTTATACGGTAAATTTTATGAGTGGACTTCTTTATATATCGATCCCACTGTACCTCTTTAAAACAAATTAACCAAGGCTGACTAGAGTAGTCAGAAGGGAGTTAAACAAAAGGGGACAGTACAAACAGAAAATAGGTGCCCTCTGAAAAAAACCGAGATGTTGAGAAAAAAAAACAATGGAAGGATATGAAGAGAAAAAAAGTCTTGAATTGCCTATACACCAATATGAATAACATGAGTAACAAATAAAAGGGGGGAAAAATGAACAATTCCATCAACATAAATATGATCTGGTTGGTACTGCTGAATCCTACTGGGATGATTCCCAGGATGGAATTTCAAATAGGTTATATAACCACTGGTTTTGGGAAGGATCAAGCAGGCAGAAAGAGGAGCCACTCTGTCAACAGGCATTACCTGTTTCCAGGTCATTGATAACCAGGAATAAAGGTGTGTGTGGTTTTTTTTTTAAGTCCTCGCAGTTAAAGCACACAAGACGGGGTAGTAGGTGGGTGTATGCTACAGAGCACCATATCACAATAAGGCCTGGTCTATACCAGGACCTTAGTTCAAAATAACTCCTCCTCTTGTTTGAATCAGATATACTACCAAGACCATTATTCCCAACTGTTTCAGCCAACATGAGTAAATCCTTTATTAGCACTTGGCATAACAGATGAAGAGGAACTGATCACAGAACTAAAAATTAGGGCTGTCAAATGATAAAAAACCTAATCACTATTAATCACAGTATTAAAAACAGCTGCGATTAAGAATAGTTTTAACCACAGTTAACTAGGGATGTTAACATACATTTAAGTAATTGAGTAACTGTTGAAAAATTCAACAGTTACACATGGGGGCAAGTAGCTCTCCAGGTCTAGTGCGTGTAGCACTGAGGCAGCAATGGGGGGGGAGGGAGAGGCAGGCAGGAGCCAGTGGCCATGAGGAGTTGGCTTTTAAGCCAACTCTCCACAAGCATCAGATCCCTTGGAGCCACCTGGCCCCCCACCCTTGCTGCCTCCCACAGATGCGTTAAATTTGTTTTGAGTTAAATACATGTAATTGACAGCCTCACTACAAATTAATAGCACCATAAGTACAAGTTATTATGCCCTGATCACATTTATAATTTGAAAATAGAATAAATTCCAGACTAGTACTTAATGCTTTAATCAGTCTAATTTCACAAAGCTGACAACAGCTATAAGCAAAATCGGCTGGGACGAAGAAATTAAATCAGAAAAATCTGAAAGATAATTGGGAGTCGTTCAAGAACATCTTACTGCATATCCGAAACTGAGGAAAAAGGCTGTGCTGGTGGACAAAAATTAAATTTGATTTACAGAGGAAATGAAGGCAGATATAAAAATATACATATAACAAATGGAAGAAAGGGGAAGCTGATAATAAATACAAATCAGAAGTTAAGAACTGGAAAAATCTGATTAAGGGACACAAAGGAACACAAGGAAAAACCTCTGGTCAGAAAGGTTAACGACAATAGAGAGTTTTCTAACTATACAAAGAATAAAAAAAATCCTGACACTAGTATTAGGCTATTACTAGATAAAAATGGTAGTGGTTAATAAAAATGCAAAAAAGGCCAAAAATATTGCAATAATTTCTGTTCAGTATTTAAGGGGAAAAAACCAGATGATATAATCTCACCACATGGTG